ACAGATCAGGGCTCTTTAGTTTTTGTACAGTCATGAAGTATGTCTGTCTCTGCTTGTCCAAATCACGTTCCTAACCACTGCCCACCTGTTGGTTTGGGCAAACCAAGCGACTGCAATTGGGCTGGGGTGTGGTGGTAGGAGCTGTGGGGATGTTCTAAGTATAAGTACAGTTCAGTTGCACAGGTTCTGTCTAGTGACCCATCAAAGGGCAGAGGCTGTCAGTGTAGTCTCTTTCAGGGAGAGAAAGTGGCCATCTTCTGGGACGGGGTAAACCCGAGCCTGGGGCCCTTCCTGTTGTCTTTGTTGTGATTCCTTCCTTGTTCTCTGACTGATATCTAATCTTACTTCCTCTGTTGGTTTCTTGGGAAGCTAGAAAAGATTTCCAGTTGCTTAGTGGCCTTTATGGTAAAGGAATCTGCTGACCTTAGTTTTAGTTATTTATTTATTTATATTTTGGTACCAGGGATCAAACTCAGGTCCTTGTGCTTGCAAAGCAGGCGGCAGAACCAGTGAGCTAAATTCTGGGCCCTTGACCTTAGTTTTAGATAACATCTCGTTTCCCGGAATGATCAGCTCCGTTACTGATGATGCTGACTGAGCCAGAACTTGGTCCTGGATTCAGCTTAGCTCATCTCCCTGGCAGTGGCAGCCAGGGTTGCCTGGCTCTTTGTGTACCCCTTCCACAGTATAAAAGTACTGAGAAGTAGCTTCCTGCTGGAGACTCCAGTTCCCAGTCACCGTTGTACCATCGCATCTTGCTACTGAAGCAATACAGTGAGAAGCAGTTACATTTTGTGCATCAAGAATTACTGTTTTTGCTCTGCGTGGTGGCACGCACCTGTAATTCCAGTACTTGGGAGGCTGAGGCAGGAGGATTTCTGTGAGTTCAAGGCCATTTTAGGCTACATAGTGATTTTAAGGCCAGCCTAAATACAGAAGAGAAATCCTATTTCTGGGGGGAAAAAAAATCACTAGCCTTGGGAAGCCTCAAAGGTAGTAGTTTATTTACCTGTTATTCTTTTCTTTAAGGCAAAGCCCTCACCGTGTACTTGAAAACTTTTGAGGATCATATCTGTTCCTCTCCAGTGAGTGGTGAGCTTGTTAAAAATGGCGTATCGTATTGAGGAGAACAGAGAGCACAATTTCCAACGTCACCTAATGAACAGTGTGGCCTTTCCCTGGGCAGTTAGCATCTCTGTCCACAAGATTTGCCTGTAAAGTATGGAGATTTGATTTCCTTCAAACAAAATAGGCTATGGATGGCTTAATCTTACAGGTGTAAAGCTTCATCTCTGTTACGAAAAATAAATACTTCTGAGTTCTAACTCCATGTGAGGTCTAGGCTAAGCACACACATCACACATCTTTATCACCCCAGGACGCAGGCACCCCTATGTGGCTGAGATAACGGAGGCTGAGAGGACAGAAGTCCGTGGGTCAGAACCAGCAGAGGGTGGAAGTGGGATTTCCCTCAGTCTGCCCAACTCTGTGCTCTCAATGCGGGGCCTTTTGGGTTTGGCATGGAAGAGGTCTTTTAGTCCATCTTCATTTGGTACATGTATTACTTTCTCCAGTGTGATTTCTTTTCCACCCTTTTACTTTGTCTTTTCTAAAGCCTGAGGGACTGAAAGAACCTCTGTACCACCTGGAATAAACCGTCACCAAAGATTTGAAAACCCCCATCACCTTTGCCACTCAGCAGTTCAGTGTTCAGTCCTTTCCTTCTCATACTTTTGCTACGCTTTCTTTGTGTAAAGATGTTCAAAATGGAACTTCTGATATTGTTGAACATTCTTAAAAGTTAGTTTGGTTAAAGGAAAGAATCTTGGGCTAGGATTTGGAGATCAAGGCTTTAGTTCTGTCTCTGAAATCTATTCCATTAAGGCACAAACAGTACTGCTTCCCCACATTTAAGTTATTATAAAGTAAAAGATCCATTACATTGAAAAAACATTGTTTCTCTTTGTGCCAGCAATCACAATAGCTGCAGTTAATTACTGGAACCAGAACTAAAGCAAAATGATTTTGGGCTTGTGGTGGCACTGCGCAGGTATACTTCAGGTAATTATATTTCATTTGATTTGGCCAGACTTGGACTTCTGCAGTTTTATGTGGGGCACAGAAGCAGAGAGACGCTACAGTTGGTACCTGAACTATCTGATAGTAACAGTGACTATCAAGTTGTGTAGAGTAAGACAAAAGAATGGGAAGGGCACCTGGATTAGGAAAGTTAGCATACTAGACAAGAAGGGAAAGGAAGGAAAATTTCAGGGGAAATGGGCTCAACAGGGTCATTCAGAAACATCTTGAGCCCGGACCTCTGGAGGAGCCATGTATTAGCAGAAGCCGCACTCAGGCTGCCAGTAGTGCTGCTGTGTTGAAGAGCTATGCTCTGCTGTTTCTGAAGCACAGCGAGCCGGCAGGCCAGCCATTGGCGAGGTCATCCATAGTCATCACACAGCTCAGGCTTACTTCTCCAAGATGCCTTGTGCAGGAGAGAGGGACGGAGAGAGGAGGGGGATGTGTGTTCATTTTGTGGTGGTTGGAATAAAAGGGTCGGGGTTGAGCTTTCTGGTAAACCCACTGGCCTTTAAGGCCATTGTTTGAGCATTTCAGCATTTCCCAAACTGCTCATCCAGCCACCATGCTCAAGACTTTTTGCCATGCTCATAATTTCTTCTTTACTTTTAAAGGACCATTATATATATATATATATAT